GACATGTATGATACACAGGCCAATAAAACTATTTCAAGAACTGAACTTTGCATCAAACTATGCACCCCTCCCCCATAAAACCCCCTTTTGGGGGGGAAAGTTCTCCTGCCTCTGAAGACAGCATGAGGCCAGTTGCCCTTTCTGTACAAGAGAGAGAAAATAGAAAGGAAAGAGTCTCACACTGCTGGTAGTTACTTCCTTTATAGTCAAAGAAGCTACTCCCAATTTATCCAGGGTAAGCTGGAGTTCAGCATCTGGCTCAATATCTGTTACGCTGCTCTCAAATGCCCTGAAACATAAAGGGACCCTGAGAACAAAATGCACTACGTGGGTCTGCCTCTCCTTCTCAAGCTAGACCACGTCTGCAGGGGACCGCTTGCTAATGCAAGGTTTCTCAGAGCTCTGTGAGTTGCCACTTTGAAAACCAGCAGCAAGATCCTGGCCCCAGAGCTCTCCTCTTAGGTTGGTGGAGAAAACATTTTGGCTTATGATCCAAGTGGTGCTTCCAGCACCACAGGATGTACTGCCAAAACAGAAGATGGTGGTCTGCCTGCTTTACCTGAGGCAGGTTAGGGCATTGTATCTTGTGCTGTATCAGTGTTGATAGTATCTTTGCTAAGAGGTTAACTAATGGATTTGCATGGGATAGTTTGGATGGGGATGATCCTGCCTCACGCAGGGGGTTGGACTAGATGACCTATGGAGGTCCCTTCCAGCTTGACTTCTCTATGAAGCTCTGGGATTAGGAAAAACTAAAATAACCCCTGAACTCTGAAGAAGCTCCTTCAGGCATTGAGAGCTTAGTCTAGACTGGCTTCAACAAGTGGAAAGCCAGGAGCCTCAGAGATGGGGGTGCACCACAAGAAGTCAGGGCTGCCCAAAGAAAGAAGTGGACAGCCTTATACCATCATCAGGGGCATGAAGACAGGAGAGAGGAAGACAGAAAAAGGGGTTTTACACACATGCACTGGTGAAAGGAGCAAGAGAAACCCTGCAGAGGTTCTCCCAAAGTTTTGAGCTCACAGAGCTGTTCAAAGCCTTTGGCAAAACCTTGACTTAACAAGAGAGCAACATATGTCAAATGACCTCCGTTCAAGGAGCCTACAACATACAAAAGCAGTCCCACCACAAACAGAGCAGGGAGCCAGCTCCTTCCCCAAGCACATGCCGAGCTGCTCTAAGAGGCAGATACCTTTTCAATGACACGGTTCCCTCCAAAGCGCGTCACAAACTCAGCAGGCGAGGCAACGGTGAAGTCCCGGTGGAGATCCAGCTTCTTCTGCTCCCGGCCTTTCTTGATCAAGCACAGTCCTGACATGCTGGGCCTGAATCAGGTATAAAATATCCATGAAAACTGAAATCAGTCAGTTCAAGACTAACGCCAGGCTAAGCAAACAGTTCAGAAGGGCAGACCCACAACGATCCAGATCTGGGATTTGGGGGAGGGACGCGTTTTCCAAGAAAGCAAAAGGCTGATAAGCTTTATAATACAAACAATTATACTTCTTGTTGTGCCTCCCAGCCAAGTCTCTCAGAGCAAACATGAGTCCAGTAAGCAATACGATGGCCATGAGGGATGGTGGCACTATAAAGGATTGCTTATTCCCACTGGTGAGAGGTTGACACTGCCAGGATAGAGAACAGCACCCTGCAACACTGCTTGGAGAGTGCAGGAGAAGACTGTCTCCCCTTGAAACACTGAGGTCAGTAAGTCCAGGCTAGCAGACTATAATGCTATAGGGCTGAATTCCCTCTCCTGGTGGAAAGTGCATGGGGATCATTAATGACCACAAATGACCAGGAACTCAACTTTGCACCACTACTTTCAAAAGCAATGATATTAGGCAGCTTTGCTCCTAGGAAAAATGTTCTCTCTCCAATTACTGACAGATACACAGCTTAAAGTGTGGCTGACGGCAAGCCTAAGTTTTCATGTCCAACCTCAGGGGCATGGATGTCTACAGTTACCAGAGTTTTCCGGCATGATGCACAGAGAAGGGTAAGTGTGTGGGTACAAGCATGGTCAGCTCCTGACAGGGACTTGTCCCTCCTCATCACCATTTGCAGATTGGACGATGCTGGGAATGGACCAGCGCCCTGTGGAGATGAAATGCTGTGCTACACAGCCCCACATGGGACGCCAGACGTGAGGGCGTCCGTTCCACACCCGAAATCTCTACCACTGCCCAGTGTCGGAGCCAAGGCCTGCTGCACAGTAAATGAACTTTGTGCGGAGGGGGCCGCTGCTCGGCAGGAAGGGCGTCTGTTGTCAAGCTTGGGTTGATATTAACCTCTATTTTTCAAACGTTATGCTTCAAGCATCCTCAGGACCCCAAATGCCTCCATGTACCCACCTTCCTCCCCTCTGTCTCCAACGCAGGCAACTCTACATCAGGTTTCTGTGGCCCCAAGACAGATTCTGTATTTTATCTGTCTGGCCAGGTCCTTACAGAGGCTGCCCCAGCCTCTTCAGGTGCAGAAGGCAGAATGACCAATGTAGCTTTACTGTACTGGGGAAAGAAAGCCCCATGTAGAGGGCACAGGACACCCCATGGGGCCTCACCCTTCTCCCACCACCCCCAGACAAGGCTCTGACCATGCAGGATATCCACAGCATCTGGGATGAGATCCTTTCCCAGCAGAAGCCTAATCATAGACCTTTCCCAAGCACAACCAAAGGTGCCAGTTAAAAAGAAAGACCAGCTGAGCCTAGATCAGGGACAAAGGCTTCATAGATTCACAGATTGTAAGGCTGGAAGGGACCTCGGAAGTTCGTCGGGTCCAGCTCCTATGAGGCCGTTTACAGGTGACACCACGGGTTGGGTCACACTTGTTTCACAAGCTGGGAAGGCTTCTAAAGTTACAAGTGGCCACAACCCTTTCTGCAACACACCGCAGCGGGCTGTTTTGTGATTCACTCTCTGCCCTGTAATAGGAGTAGGCTGCCACTTGTCACCGGGAGGAGCTCCCCCCAGTCATCAGGAATGGGGCTGACTTGGACAGCTGGAGAGAAGCACATGGACCGGCAGTGCGAGGAACTGGCACTGAGCCACCCTTGCGTTGGCAAAACACCCTGCAAGACACCTCGCTAGCCTAGCCTGGCAGCTGTACTTAGTGGACCCTCCCTAATGGCGGTGCTCTCTGTGGTGGGTGCTACAGGTTGATTTGCTGCTTGGTTCACATGCCATGTTGCTTTCTTGTGGCTCTGCACTGCCCCGTGCAGAGGTGTGAAATGACTAGTATTTATACTGCAGTGGTGCCTAGATGTTGCAGTGGAGAAAGGAGCCCTGGCTCTGCTGGACATCTGGATACACTCCAAGCATCCTTTGAGCTTAACTCAGAGTCCTCTCAAATATCCAGCTTTCATCCTCTCCTCCTGTCCCCATGCTCTGGAGGAGAAGCCATGTACAGGGAGATTGCCCCCCATTTCTCTGTGCCACTGGTTTCCTTCCTTCTCTTTCCCAAACCTTCTCTGTCTTCCTCCAAACGGCTGTTGAAAGGTATACAACCTCCCACCCGCTTTGTTAGGGACCTCTAGAACAGCCTCAGCAACAGCAAGCCATCCAAGTCCCTCACCACATGATCCATTGAATCATTACCTACCTCCCCTGGGGGAACTAGTTTTCTCAGCTTAGCAGATCTATTATATTACCCAGACAGACCCTTACAAATGTCAATGAGCCCTGATGATCCCAGACACGGCTATGTGACACCCAGCTACAACACAGCTATATCTCGACACCCACAACGTGGTTGGGACCCAAATCTCATATCATGCACATTTTGTCAAGTGCATATGAGTGGGGTTTTTCCATGCTCGAGTTGCATTGATGTAGCATTCTCCCTCTGCCCGTCCCGAGCAAGCCTGGCATTTCCACGTGTCCTTGAAAAAGATAGGAAAGTTACTTCCACAATCCTAAGGAAATCAGAACCGCATCTATCCTTTGGTATCGGCATCACCAATGAAATATACTGAACCTTCAACCAAAGAAAATGCAGGGTTTAGGGTTAATCTGTTCAGCAATGTTTAATGAGGTCTCATAGCCAGTTCCTAACACAGGTCTCTTATTTTTAACGGCGCTGGTAACAGGCCAGCTGCTATGATACAGCCAACAATTTTGAAGCATAAATAATACTCCTGGACTGTTCATAAGTATCACGCCACTTTGGATGGTATATGAAACCATCATGGAAAAATCCTCGACAGTTTTCCTATTAGAAAGAGCCTTCAGGGACAGGCAATGTCAAATACAGAGAGTTGGCCAAAGCAAATAGATATTCTGGCTCATCCTCCAAAGCTTGCATGGTGTACCAATACCGATCTGGTCCCAAACACTGGAGCACGGCACATGAAGTTACAGGTGTCCCTGCTGTATTAGCTTGGACTCGAACCACCGCCCTTGCCAGCAAAGGTCAGTAACTGCAGCCTCCGCTGGTTTTGATTCAGTTTACGGCTCACTGTCCTGTTACCATCCAGAACCTATCTGGAATAGAGCAGGGCACATTACAACACAAAAAAAGACCTCCAATACAGGTGGCCTGTCTCTGTCCACCTAATACCCTCGCCCACCACCCAGCTGGATTACTGACACACACTATCTTCCTACAGCTGCTCTGTCCAAGGCTACTGCGCCACATGCCAGCCATCCCAACAAGCACAGCTGGCAGACAACATCTGTCCACGTTGTTCTCAGGGATCTGGAGAGGCCCCCTGAGGGAGGCTGAAGGCATCAGAGATACAAGACCCTAGGGAGCATCATCTCCAGCCTGCATCCACCTTCCAGGGCAGCGCTTCTCAAACGAGGGTCCGCAGACTAGGGTAGATGGAGACTTTAAAGAGGATGCGAGAGGAACAAACGAGAAAGCAGGAGGAAAAGGGAAAGGACTTTCTCTTAGGGGGAGATTATGGTATGGCCGTAGGGACACAAAGTACTACCTTATTTATCCTCCATTCCACAGAGGCATTGAGAAGAAAGCAGCGTGACAAGTTAGAGAGGGGCGCCAGACCTCAAAACGTTTGAGGACCACCTGTTGTAAAGCATAACCGAGGAGGAACAAGCAAAAGCCTTTGATAACTGGGAAGAGAGAGCCAAGGGAAAGGAGAGAAGGCATTAGGCTCCAGGATACAGGGGAAGAACTGAAGGCAGAAGAACTCATTACAACAGAAATCGATCTAGCAACACACCCACTCGTTATCATATACGGGACTTGTGCGGCCTTTGACTCCACATAGGAAAGCACATTGCACACAGATAATAAACCCTGCTATTTAGCAGGCCTTTTTTTATCCCCAGGTTAAAAGAGACCAAGGCACTAAGATGTTACATGACTGACCCCCAGGCCAGACAGCATAGCAGCAGTGTCAGAGCAGCTGCCAGACTCGCGTTCAGTCTTCCAGCCCGTGTTGCTTCTCAGCCTTGCGGCCTGCTGCCTTTTTCCCCAGGAGTACAGACCTACTCCGGCTTCAGGTTGGCGCCCGAGTCTGCAAGTCTGCATCTGCTCAAAGCTTTGAACATGCAATGGGCTCCAATTTTGCCACACAGGGGTGGGTGCTTATCAAAACTTGGCACACAACCGTCAGACAATCACAATGAAAAACAGGGGCAGCTTGGATCAGGAAATCACGCACCACAGAAGTGCCCTATCGGTCATGTCAGACCAACAGTTACCTTATTATGGCAGCCCCGTGCCCAACCTCAAGTCTCCTAACTTCACTCATAAGCACATTAGAGACTCTCAGATTTAGTCCCAGTGCAGTATCAAGCCCCGTATCTCCTCAGTTCTGCTCAGACCATGTCTTCACAAACTTCATGGGCAGGGAAGGTCCGGGAACAATCGTGACTATCAAGATGGGACGATCCTCAACTAGCAAGATCAGAAATCAAGTGAGTTGAGCAACAAGGGGAGACTTTCAGCAGTTCTCTAAAGCAAACACGCATGGGCGTCCCTCCCCCCCACCTCCCATTTTCACAAAACCCACCATCTCTTTGAGTTCAGCGAGAAGTGTCAGCTGAAGCCCTAGCCAGCAGGTGCCAAATCAGTGCAAAACACTTTTAACTGTGCAGCCCACAAAAGAGAAACCACCCGGTCTGTTTTCCGTCATCCCAGCTCAGTGAACGCCAATAAAGGGAACGTACAGAACGAGCGGCAGAAAAGCTGGGGTGGAAAAGGGTTTTTTAAAGCTATAACTGCAGGGTAACTCCAGGATTGTGGGTTTGCATATTTAAAAGAAATGACGCTTCAGTGGGAAACACTGTTTACAGAGGCAGGAGGAAACGAAGGTAGGAAATGCCACACGCTTTACTTTGCAGAACAGAGTGAAACT